AAAAAACACTATAAAAAGCCTCTTTTTAAAAAGGGCTTTTTTTTTTTTTTTTTAATGCGAGAAGTTTTGCTCCAAAGCCTCCCGGCGCACACCGTGCCACCATCTGGCAGATCCGGCTTTCAGGGCAGATTTAGCTCCTAGCACTGCGCTCACGCTGGGGCAGCAAAGAGTGCCAGAGTGGTAAAAAAACGCAGCCTTGGGAGAAAAGACATAAGCTGCCTGATGGAAACCCGCACACACACACACGCAAAAGAGCTGCACAGTTTTAATACACCTTGGGAAGGGCCCATAGCGCTTACTGAAGCAAAACTCATGCTGATTTAGTGTCCAAGACCGCTGCACTTGGTCTTTAATATTGGTCTGCGTGACACTTTTGGAAAAGAACTTGGAGACATTGCTTTTTTTCCTACATTAGATTAATTTTCTAGAAAGAGTGCTGTTGTGAGCAGTATTAGCTGCAGAGGCACGACTGCCCTCGGAGCAAGACCAGGTACATAACTCAGCGGCGGCAGAAAGATTTACCAGTGCTGGGCAGAAGTTGATCTAATGATCTAATGCGATTTTTATTTCGACGATAACGTAGTTAGAGCTTGCCTCTCTCCAGGAGACCCGAAGCAGGACCATGCCTTAAAGAGCTCACTCACCTCTTTGTTTAGTAGTGCACATCTTTTTCCCTCCGTAGTGTTTTGGTTTTTCTAAGGCGACCACTTGGTTTTTACTTTTCTTATAGGCAGTATTCTTCATGAATTGGCATTTGGTATTTTTTCCTTGGTCAGTCAGTTTTGTACAACATGGTGAAAAAGCTCTGCTTGCAAGAAATGCCTGGCACATTTTCTCCCATACTTTAGTCTAAGTAACTAAGGCTTGTTTCTGTAGAGTCACGGGTAGTTAACCAGACACAGGATGACTGACTATTAATGAAATCAGGGTGATTTCTCAATTTCTAAAACTTGTGTTGTCGTTTAATACAGGGAAGCCCAAGATAAATTACTGGTAGAGTAGATACATTCACCACATTGAACAAGAGTGGGGTAAGGTTTTGAGAAAACTATGCACCAATTACAAATGCTGGCTCAGCTTACGGCAAGCTAACTGCTGTCTCCGGAGCCGCTCTGATAGCCAGCCCGGGTGGGTATGTACTGATTTTTCAACACACGCTGATTTGATGGAAGTAACCAGGAGCACTAAACTAGAAGGAGCTGTTCCCGTGGCACGGATGTGCTGTGGAAGGAGCTGGGAAGGGACAGGGCCATGCGAACCTCACCAGCTTCAGCTTTCTGGGGTGAACTGGGAGTAGCAATAACTTACGAACTGCTGAGTAAGGAAATTGAGCCATTTGTAAGAGGACTACCAAAACGAGAAAACCTGCTAGATCGTGCACAGAGGCAGAAAAGCAAGAGATGGATTTCTGGTGCAGGCAGGCTCCAGCCCACCCGGCCACAGCAGCAGGGGGGAGGAACCTGTTTGACCTGGGTGGTCCCAAAGGAAGGGTGGGCACAAGAGATGCCGTATCAGCTGCTTCTGTAGCCTCACGGTCTGCCAGCAGCACCCTCTCTTCACTCCTTAGTCAGGCCACGCTCTCACACGACTTAGTCGGGTTTTACCCTCCTCCCCCTGCCCCAGCACGGGAGCTGCAGCCACTCCTGAACGACGCAGTTAGAGACTCCGAGATAAGATTTTTTTCTGAGTGTCTGTTACAGAAACTGTGACTTCTTCCTGAAGTTTTAATTGCTAGTCCAAATACCACCAAACGTGTGATCCTGCAGGAGAAAGGTGTACGCTGGGTGGCAAACAGAGCCAAGAGAGAAGGCAGGACAGGCCTCAAGGGATGGCTGGGGATAGTCCCGGCCTCCAGCTCCGGGAAGACACCGCTAGACTGAGCACTGGCACCAGAGAATGGCCCAAGCTAGGGAAATCGCTTCAGTCGCGCAGAGAATTGGACTGCCGGACTCCCCTCAGGCAGGAGGCGACGGCGGCACAAGAAGTGGTGGCAATGACCACGTCCCTAACTCACTGAAAGCAGGAGGACTCCCGGTGCCAGAGGACGGTGACGCCTTCCAACGCACGGTTCGCACACGAAGCGGTGTGTGTACGTCCCGACCAAGGAAGGCGCTACCAGCGCGTGCAAGCTGCAAAATACGGCGTTCAGAAAGCACAGGCCTTCGAGGATTCAGGATGCTCGTGCCACTGCAGGCTGGACTCCTTCTGCTAATGCTTTTTTTGATGGCAGCCTTAATTACTTGATCAGATCAGGATCTTCCCCGCAGAACTGCTGCCTCAGGGGCAGTGCTATTACTCTCAGCGTGGACCTTCCTGTCTGCTGAAAAATGAAGGCACTCGTTAGCGCTCCACCAGCCTCACACTACCATAGAATCACAGAATCATTAAGGCTGGAAAGGACCTCTCAGATCATCTAGTCCAAGCAACCCAATTCTATGATAGGGACAACCTTCAGGAAAACGCAAGAGGTTTTAGGGGAAAAGAAAAAAAAGGTGTCTGGAGTTGTTTTAATTTTTAAGGATCTACTAGGACAGAGGCACATGCAACAGGGTCTGTCTCCCAGCCGTTTCTTCACCTCAGAAAACCAGTGCAGCTCCGCTGTGATCACAGTTATCTTAGCTGTCAGATCTACAGCGACAGGTGTCACGTAGGTACAAGCAACGCACGATAAATACCCCTAAGTGTTTACTCTTACTGCGAAGGATCGCCTGTATCGCAGTGCGCTAAAGCCTGTTTCCAGGGAGGAAAAACCAGCGCGCAGCTGGCAGCGGTTCCCTCACCGAGCAAACTCTTCTCCACAGGCATCACAACCCTCGGCTAGCTATTGCAAAAGGAGACGGGGGGCCTTCACCAGAGCTGACTGTCACCAGAAAGGATAAGCTGCAGCCTGATTTTCCTGTTAGCCTGATTTATAAGGGTTTTCCTTTTGCCCTTTTTTTTGCTTGTTTTCCACTGGTAAAGTTTACCAGACTCAGCAAGGTGGGAAGCAGGGCCTCGTTATTTTGCGTTGGAGCTCGGTGTTGCTCTCCCGCAGCTTTTTCCACACGCTGCTAGGGAAGACGCTGAATTTGCATGCGATCAGAATTGCTTTTGCGACTGATCTGTTACCTCTGTGTGGCTGCTCCTCCCTGTGGAGTGAGAGGCAGCACGCTACTCCACCGGACTAAGGCACGGAGACGTGCGTTACCGTCCTCTCCTCGACGCAGCTGAGCACACTCGGTTGGGTGTCACAGGCAACCGCTCAGCCCCAGGGAATGAGCTTATCCCTAAGGCAGCCTAGGGCTCGGGCAGCCTCAGCGCCCCAACAGAAAGGAACTCGGTGCAGCCATCGATACTCAAAAAGAGAAGATTTGAAATGAGGGCTCTGTTAATTTTCCCAATATTTCAGCCTGCTGCATCTTCGTCTGTCTCCCTCGCTCTACCCCCCAGCGTTTCACTGAATTTCCTTCCAGACCCTCGGAGCAGGGAGCGTGACCATGTGCTAACAACCCAAAAAAGAAACCACGACCAGAAGACAGCCACCCAAACCCGAGAAGCGAGCCCCT